ACCCACCTCCCTCCCACCCCACCCCAGCCATGCCTTGCTGGTTATATGACTTGTGAAAACGGCGGGAAATGTGCCACTTATTTCCAATACGCTGTTTATTTGCATGTTATGCATAGTCATAATTATCATAATTAACTTTTCAGATCATATCTAAATGTTCCTGTCATGGACACTCTGCATTTTCATGTGGAATGGCGATGTGTGATTTGCTTTACGTGTCTCATTAATATACAATTTCTAGGTTAGTATTTCTATATAATCGAGCCTTTCGCAATCCCAGAAACTTCACATGGGTAAACCTGGCCATCTGGCTCAGTACAGTTTTCTGTTTCATGTTTATCCTCTTCAGCACAAAAACCAGCATTCATGTCTTATCACAGGTTTCTCCTTTCTGGTTTTAAAAAAAAACCTTGTGGTGGAATTGAACACAGGTCTATAAACCAAAATTAAAATATATAAAACAATGCAGTGTTATCTGTGTGCTGTTTATTGGCGAGGTCTGGTGTTCTAGATAACGGAGAAGTCAGTAAGCCAGCACCGCATCCATTTGTGGGCCGAACAGTGGGGTTTATTGCCTTCAAACGCTGGTAGGATTTTCTTCCCAGGAACAATAAAAAATAATGGGCTGGAAAATGAAAAGGGACGGAATGTGAAATGGGGGAAATCTGGGAAATTGGTCTGAACAAAAAGGAATCGCCACAGTTTATTCCGAACTCGGTGCCCCAAAATGCTCCACTGTCATCACGCATTTTTCTTTGCATTTCCACCCGAGGAACATATATCTGATGGATCACACATAATTAGGGGGATTATTGCTCAGTGTTCCCAGTCAGCCCTTCATAATTATATTTGTTTAGTGCGGGATCATAGGTCTTCAGGAAGCTGGCTAAAATGCTGCGTGACAAACGCCGCCGTGTGATTTCGACACGGCTTTATCTTCCACTTAGTAAACTGGAGATGTGAGGAGCCGCCCTTGGGTTTCTGTGCGCCGTTTCACCCAATGGAATCTCGCGAAGTACCCAATAAGAATTGGATTAAACCTACTGTGAGTGGCAGCATATGGTGACCTCGCCCCTGGCATCTGTTCTTTTTCTTATACGTTGTGGCTTATGGTAGATATTTCACATGTATTTTTTTTTTTTACAGATATTAGACACACACAGACACAGCAGGTTTTCCTGCCTCGTCCCGGTCTTAAGCAGGAGCCATACAGGTCACCTTATAGGCGGTCTTAGAGGTGATGCTTTCAGCCAGTCACAGTGGATAAAAGTCCCACTGAACGGGGGGATAAGGCGGGGCTATCCCTTTAGAAACAGCAGTTCGAATTTCTAAAGGATTTGGAAAAGAATCATAAAGAAAATGTTTCGCATACACCTACTATTCACACGACGAGGCACAGATACTGTAAACAAGCAAGTAACATACTACTAAATCTACAGATAATTTTCACTAATATTAAATGAGTCGAAATTTAGTTTAATTTGAATTGCTCTTCAAATAAGTTACAAATTAGCTTGATCATTTACTCGTTTCCCATAATTTTAACGGGACGGAAAGTCACACGTGAAAATTTAATTTCAGTAATAAAAAAAAAAAAACTAAGCTGTACCATAAGTAAACGTGAACACATCAACACACCATAAACATCTGCAAAATAGTTTTAAATGTTTCACATATGCTACATAGGCTATATGTTCCTTTTAAAAGTAATTTTAATAATCTTATTTAAATGATGTATCTAGTCGTACGTTGCAGTTTCTTGCAGTGAATATACGCTCTGGCGGAGAATGTCAGATCTCCACTGACATTAGCAATGAGCTTTTTGTCTTAATCATGTACTTCAATGGTTTTGAAAATGATACGAGCCCGGCTCGTCCACGGAAGAGCTGCCGGACGCTGTAAATGCGCACAAACTAACTCTGTAGTAATTGAGCGGCGCAGACTGTTTTCTGTTTAACCCTGATTTAACCCTTATTTAATCACATTAATTAATGATCGTGTGTGAAAACACACACTTGCGTCCACAAGTCCGAAAACGCGAGCGACAGCCCGGCTTTCCCTGGAATAAGGTCCGTTCCTACGGAGCCCCTGGCCGGCGCGTCCCAGTGCGGCTGCCCGCTCCTCCGGGGGAGGGACTTGAAGGCGCGGCTTGCGGGGACGCCGATCGACCCGGTCCATTGCGGTCGGACCGCCGCGCAGACCGGGCGCCGGGAACTGGGCTGAAGACACGCAGAGACTGCGGGCAGCTCCAGCCTCCACGACGGGCGCTGCGGAGATGTGCGCTCGGTAACATGGTCCTGAAAGCTGGGATCGCCGCTTCGAGATGGTGAGAGTGAGAGCCGCGGACTTTGGCCGTGTTTGGTGCATATTCAGAGACAAAGCTGCAGGTTGTAACTTTGAAAGATCCCCAATAATGCGTGAACATTTCTGTTTGTGTATATAACTGTATACTTGAATATATATGTAGTCCTGATTTAACTTATAACTGCAGTGCATATTATTATTATTATTATTATTATTATTATTATTATTATTATTATTATTATTATTTTATTATTATTATTATTATTATTAGCTAATGTATTAATGGGTGACCTGCAAATAATTCTTTGAAACTTACGGTCCACTACGATGCATTTTATTAATAAACAGGTAGTTAAATTTTATAGGAAATATATATTTTGATTGATTATAGTAAAATATATGTAGATATTAACGCGAATTCTAGGTCTTCCCGTAATGCGGTTGGACAATTTATGAAAGAACTGATTTTCCTGAAAAGAAAAATCAACAGGTGCTACGAAACGTGATTGATGGTTATTTCTGCCTTATAAATGACCGGACATGTTTATAGGCTGCTATAAATGTTTCTTCGCGTTCAGTCATAGCATCATGTAATTTTTTGTAAACCAAGGAGTGTATTTTACAAGAGGAAATGAGTTTGGTAAATTATAATGGTACAGCAGTTGTTTCTACCTGGGATTTGCTGAGATTAGTTACTCAAATTAATTTAAAAATTGTATATTAAATTAAGTTAATCCGTATTTTTTTCTAGTTGCAAATTAAAATGAAATCGACAGTTGTGCTTACAGAAATGCTGCATTTTATATTGCGATACTGTGGTTCGATGAGTCATCGATTTTAAAAATAATGTGATTTATTTTAGAGATAAGTATAGTAATTTCGCTTTCCTACCTTATCGAGCCCCATGGGGTGTCGATTGATTTTAAGATATCTTTATGTCTGGGCAGAATACGACACTGTTTTCTTTTTTACTAATGAATGTTGATTTCCTGCCTCATTGGCTTGGTGGGTACGTAATCGGAAGTTTGCATTATGTTTGCAATGAGTTTTTATTCTAATGACAGAAGTGATCCTTACGATAATGTTCCGGCTGTGTGTTATTTCTCATTAATGATAGACATGAACAGAATGGGGGCTGTAATCAATCCCAAATCTGCTGTAATGTCGCACACACTAGTGCTTAAATTTGGACAGAGCTGTGGCTTTTTTCCATGGGTCGCACGCGACCTCTGAACTCAGCCGGCTCGGGTAATCGTCACGCCAATATTACAGCTCTGATGCGTGATGAGAGCCGACTTTTGGGGATAAAAACGCCCCTTCCAGTTTTGATGGGTAGGGGCCAGAGACCCCTTGACGGAAATTTGCTGGCCCCTCATTCAGGAATAATAAGACAGACGTCTGGTTCAGAAAAAGAACATTAATTAATTTTTTCAAGAAAGATATTTGTCACGTTCCTGGTCTGTGGTCCTTTGCATGTCACTGTAGGGTAAAGTACAAAAATGTCTAGTAAGGTTAGGCAAATTACTGCCAAGGATAGTCGACTTTCTGACCTCTGAATATGACCCTAGTGCCATAAAAGTGGCCCAAAATCCCCCCCCACCCCCCATATCATAAACTTCAGCCGTGTTTGGGCCCCCGGTCTGGTTCCGGCTGGAGTAGACCGACGTCACCATCGTGGTCGGGCGTCCTTTTACCTCCTGACAAGAACGCTCACAGTAGACGGTAAAAACTATCTGCTGGCATACATATCCACTAGGGGATGTAGTTAGGGATGGGAGGCAGCAGTGTATAATTATGGGATGCGAGACCTCATGATATTTCCCAGTGAAAAGGAACTGCAAGTGTAACTCTGCGTGTCTGAAGTGAGGGGGCTGGGTGGAGGCGCTGAGGACTTGCCAGCATGGCTCGTGGTTCTTCCCTGCGTCCTGCCCGCCACTCGCACACAGACTAAAGTGTCACCTTTCTGCAGGGCCTCCAGACGCTCGATTACACTCACTCGTTAATTGAGTTGGACGAATCAGGCGTTTTTAAAAGAATATGACTCATTTACAACCTCCGATGGAAAAGTGGGAACTGGTCCTTCACCAGCCCGGAGAGTTGCCATTATTTTAATTGAATATGTAGGAAAAGACATAAATATGCAACGATTACAACCTCATATATATCTGGTGCCTGGTTGCTTAAGGGACTGTTTACCTACTAACAAGTAGCTGGCTGGTTAATTGATTGGTTACTGACTGACAGGTGGCTGATTAAGAGACTGATTATGTACGGATAGGGGTCCAGCAGCACAAGTTTCCACAATAAAAGTGCAGAATTTGACATAGTTGTATGTCAGTCTTTTTTATATAAAAGCATCTGCTGAATGCATAAATGTTGTAGTAGCTGAATCATATAACTCATTTTATACCTGAAGCTGTGAGGCATTTAATACACATATTAGGGGCACAGCAGGACCTGTGCTGTGCCTTGTTGTCCATCTACTCCAGGAAAGCGCTGCCTCCCTCTGGCTGGGGATGGTACAGTCAGCTGGGCCCCCCCCCATCCTGCCTGTTTGAGTTCTGTCCTGTAAATGGAGGGCGACGCCTTTACAGCGGCGCACGCGCCGCGGCAGACGAATCGCGCCGAACAGCAGGGGATGGCTCTTCTGGGTTTACATAATGTGGGCTGAGAGACACTGACAGCGCTGGGAGATTTATGAGCAGCAGAGAGTGAAGCGCACACCTGATCACGGAGTCGCTGTGTGGTAAACACAAGTCCCTCACTGCGCCCTCCCCGGTCTGTGACTCGGAGGCTCCCCCCTGCCCCAGCATGCCAGTCAGCCTCCACTCTGAAGTCCCAGTGGTTTTTGGAACCCACTGTCATTTCTTCACTTGATTATACCTGAGGCCTTCAGCTGACTGTTTGAGGTCAATCTATCAAAGACTTCCAACCGTCCGTTTCCTGAAACCGTTCGTCCTATTCAGGGTCCTATTCTGAAACCAGAGTACCCAGAGCAAACCCCACCACGACACAGGGAGAACATGCAAACTCCGCACACAGAGGAGTCTTGAACACTGGTCCTAGTGGTGTGAGGAGACAGTGCTAACCACTGCAGCACTGTGCCGCCCCTCCATCAAAGATCCATTTGTCGTATTCATATTTATACTCAATGTGCTGTGAAACACATGGTTGCCTGGCCGAAGACTGTGAAACAGTGGACTTGCATATAAAGACACAAAACAATAGACATTGAACCATAATTATAAACATCCATAAATGGTGTGCAGAGCACACCTCCTTGTATCATATGATGTGGGTTTTTTTTCACACGTGATCTATTTGAAGGTTCTCACCATTCACAATGAAGGACCCGGGGTCAGCATGTGGGGCCTTCAAGCTGTTCGGCGCCACTGAGCACGTCCAGATGGTGCCTTTGGTCTATCTTTAGACATTTTTATTGGACACGGGGACAATGACTTGGGTAGGAACCTTTGGGCTGCCGGCCGCTCTCCAGGTCCCTGGTGACGCCGAATGTCCGTTCCTCCTTATTACCAAAATGGCAGCAGGAGAACCCCGTGGCGTTTCTTTTTAGTGAAAAAACTCAGGAGGTGCTCTTCGGCAAATTATTCAGCTGTAAAGAAGCATAAATTTGGAAGTTAAACTGTCTTTGGGTGTTTGCTAAGCAATGTAATCATAACAAGAAAAAGAGTGCAGGAATGCTCAGGAGATAAGGATGGGGCACCATCCCGAGCAGTGCACATGATTTCTTTTACGTGGGTAGTCGTCATGGTCTTGGCATCCCATAATGTTTACTTTATGCACTTGAGTGAGAGGCTAACAATGAGTTCACCCTGTCAGGTATACCTAGAATGCTAGAACCAGCGTTCAGCTCAAGACCAGGAAATAAACCCAATATATTTCATTAATTTATCAGAGGATTTTATCTAAAGCAACATACATTCATTTGAGAAAGCAGGGTCAGTCTGTCCATGCAGTAGTTTGGGGTTAGGGGCTTTATAGGCCCAACGGTGAAATCATTCTGCCAACCCTGGGATTTGAACTGGCGACCTTCCGATCACAGCCACAGTGTCCTAGCCTGCTCAGCTAATATTGGCTGTCTTTCTGTGAAACAAGCACTAGGAGACTTGATGGTGAATGATTTCATCCATGTCAAATAGCTTTTCTTAACCATGGCGAAGGTAGCTTTAAGGATAAGTGTAATTGTTTTTAGAAATTTTGTATCTGCTCCATCCTGGCGTGACGTGGTTACCTGCTGCGCACAGCTCACAGAAACATGCCGTCTTGATGATTCGGCTTGAATCGGATCCCATCAGGTTCTGTCAGGAAGCCAGCGAGATGCTATCACATCCAGGGACCGAGCTTCTCAAGTCAAGCCAAGTGGCCTTTATTGTCATACCATCAATAAACAGGTGTACAGTGGCACAAAATGGTGGTCCCCCAGGACCACGGTGTGAAATACAGACAGCAAGTGGGCGGGGGGGGGCGGTTTCGCAGTACTTGGAGTGCAAAACTTGACAGTACAAAGCAGGAGGGGCGGACCCAAGGGTTCATATGCACAGTGCAATGTGTTTATAAACAATAAATAATGGCATAACGGCACGGAATAAATATAGTGATGAAGATAAATAATAAGTTGCGAGTGACCTCAGCACTGGGTAGTGGGTAAGATGGACAGCAGGGTGTTTAGTGCCCTGACAGCCTCCGGTAAGAAGCTGCTGCTGAACTTGGCAGTTCTGGCTCAGACGTGCCCAGATGGGAAGGATGTGCAGCATGAGGGAGTCGCTGGCCTGAGGTAAGCAGCGGAGCTCAGAGGTGATCGGAGGTGATCAGCGAGCGCCACGCCGCAGGAGGAGACAGAGAGGACAGGTCCCTTAGGATGTTTGGGTCGACTGTCTGCTTCATCATCGCCGTCTTGACTTATGGGTAGGATGGGACCGGCGGTAGAGGCCGGCTGTCAGCAGAGCGCTTGTGTGATGCTGAGCAGATACTCGTTTGCAAACGACCATCCGCGCCGAAGCT